AAACAGAGGGTAAAGGAAGAAAACAGAAGAACAACAATTATCATTAAGGGAAAAAAAGGCAACTGAATTTCATTCCCATGCAGTAACTCTATTCAAGCCTAAATACAAAATAATTTAAAGGGAGTTGATTTTCCCACTCCTCTTTTGTCCACTTACACTCCCTTGTATGTTATAGTAAAAAGTATTTTTTTTTAAAACAAAAGGGAGTGTAAGTGGACAAAAGGGGAGAGAAAATTATCAACATGGACACAAATGTACGGGGGAAAAATTCAGTTGACAAAAGCACCAGAAAAAAGAGGACAGCAAGCCTACCTCTTCAGAATCTCCCACAGATTGCGATTTCAAAAGCAAAGTGCAATATTTCCTGAAACAAAAATATATATATATATATATATATTTATATAGATTATCAAAAGCCACCTTGATAGATGTCGAGACAAGATGTGAAAACAAAAATAGGCACACAACTAACGAAAGGTTTATAAAATAAAAGAAGTTAGATAATGATACCCATTCGTAACGCATCTTTCTAGAAACATTGATTGCTTTCCAGTATTGGCAGCAAAATTCATTGCAGGAAGTTCCCTAATATACATCTTTAGTACTTCCTACAAGGAACAAACCCATATGAGATCATCCTTAGCAGAAACGTAAAGATGTCAGGTCAATAAAACTAACAGATAAAGAGGGCAACTATTTCACATACACACACACACAGAGAAACAAGGGAAGATTAGCATAACAGTATTACCTGGAGATAAGAATTTTGACAGCTATCGGCATCTTTGGGATTAACAACCACGAACGAAGGATTACCAACTAGAAATGTTTCATATGACGCAATACTATCATTATTTCTCTCCATCTCTTTCCTCACTGTCATAAACAACAACCCAATAAGCACAATCGACAGTAACTTACTTAAATACGAATGCAAATATGAGAAAGCAAAAAAAAAAAAAAAGGGTTAAAGACTTGGACTTTGTTTGGTTTTAAAGATAACTATTGGGAAAGGTGGAAATGGTTGTCGAATAAGTACCTGAGATGCTGATTTTGGCCCTCCTGGAAACGGAGATTTGGAGGGTGTTGGGGTCCGACTGGCAACTGAAATTAGCTGCTTCCACTGTGACCTCGCAATTACCTGCGAAGGACAAGCGATTAGGGTGAGCGAATGGAATTGAATTTCTAGGTTTAGGGTTTCTTCTGTGAGATTTTCTTTACCGATTGGGATCGGAGAGCGTGAGGAAGACGGTGTTGCGGTCTTTCTTGGCGCCATAAGAAATGAATGTGTGGTTTTTGATTTTGGAAGTGGGAAGAGTGAGAGGGTTAAATAGGCGGGAAAGAAATGAGGACCAACTTTTAAGTGGGACGGGATGTTCTATTTATACCCCACTAATAAAAGCACTCCGTTTTTTTTTTTCTTTCAGAAATTCACTTCCGTTGATTTTATTATATATAAACACTAAAATCTATAAATTAAAGGAAAAAAAATTCCAAAAATAATCAGTTAACTATTTTTTTAATTTCAACTAACCAAAATTTGATGGTTCACATTGTCATGTCGTTAAGTCCGTCAAAATATTATTAAAAACAATTATATGAAATGCATGTGGCAACCATCACCACCCCGCGAAGTCCACACCTCTTGAATTGCCATTGGAGCCTATAAACAAAGGAAAATGCTAGAGGCACTAACTTTGGGCACTAATTCTCTAATAGAGGATGAGCCCCGGTGTATTGACTAGCCCCACCTTTATTAGAGAGTTGATGCCCAAGTTAGTACCTAAAGTTAGTGCCTCTAGCACCACCCATAAACAAAAATATACGTTTGGTATGATCTCCTTCTATACAGTAAGCTGTTCAGGTGACACAGCAAATAACATACGTTTGTAGCTAGTGATTACTAAATTAGTAAGGAACTGGCACGTGTACATCCATGAGTGGCACGTGTGTTCCGCTCAGAATCCTCAAAGCACACACTGCAATCTAACGTGGCAACTCATATCCATGCAAAATGCCACATTCCTCCACGTGCCTCTCCCCCAAAACACCACAGCCCTCCACTTTTAACCACCGGCGACCGCCACCTTCAAACCACTAATTTTTTCAACTCTCTTTGATATTTTGGTTTCAAACAAAACACCGAACACCACCTAATATATAACGCTTTGCGAGCACAGATTTTCATCGTCACCATGGCCCCATGGGAAGTCCTTGACCTAGTTTGTCACCATCTTGACCCCAAATCCCTTGCAGTAGCCTCATGTGTGTGCAAGTCATGGCTCATTTCCATGTCCTCTGATCACCTTTGGAAGCCAATTTGCACATCCAATTTCCCTTCTCTCTCTACCCTCAAAATCACAAACCCTACCGTCCCCTACCGCCGCCTCTATGTCATTGGCTGCTCCGCTGCCAAATGCCGCCGACAAACGCCCCCGAAACCCCGCCTTCTTCTGGACAACCTCATCTTCACAATCAACATCTTCCACCATGACAATTCATCGTCAAACAGTTTATGCACTCTCGCAAAACCCGGAAACGAGCTAACCCTCGATCCCAATGGCATCTTCAAGTTCGACATCGATGTTGATAACCACGATGCGTTTGAGGCATTGGAAGATGAGGAGGCGGTGAGAGTGACGTGGAATGTGGTGTTGGAAGGGTGGAGGGGTGTTTTTGGGATGATGGAAAATTGTAAAGGGAAAGGAGGGGTGGAGGGTTGGTTTTCGGAGGAGCTTCCTTCGCCGAGGTGTTGTTGCGGTTTGAGTGCGGTTGCTTGTAGTGGGATTGTGGCGGATTTGAAGTTGGGGTTTTGTGATGGAAGGAGGAAGGTGAAGAAAGTGAGTGTGGGGATTTTAAGTGTTGTAAATTGGAGATACGTGAGCGTTGATGATGCTCTGAGATACTTGCAACATTTTCTTCTACCTTGTGCTGTATGAACTAATTACATCATCTTTTTTCTTTTTTTTTTCATATGTAATTTGTAGTTTGGCCTACAAGCCTTTTATTGGGTGTTTGGTGTCCCAGAAAAACAAATCGGAATTGATATATACAAGCAAGAACTATGGCTCAAATTCCTTTTTTTTGGGGGGGCCTTTTGAAACCCAGGAGAAGGTCAACCTGGGTCCTGCCATACAGATACAGTCCAAACAAAACGTATTAGATTGACCTACATCTTTAATAAGATCACTTCCAGTCAATAAATTAATAATTGTGTTTTATTATATTTAAAAATGTGTCATTAAATTTGTTTGTGTGTGTGTGTGTGTGTAAAAGCATGGGACAAACTTAAGGACATGGAGGCTTGGTGCAAAAGAGGTACCTTGCTGGCTGTGACAAAACATGGCTTAGAGCTCGACCAAAAAGAAGACATGGCTTTAGAGCTATATGATGTTTCACCACATTTTGTTTTTCTTACTACTTCCTTTTGATTTTTGTTTCAACAACTTTGTGCGTGTAAGTATTGTTCTTAAGGCAGGACCAACAACAAAGTAACATTTTCTTTTTGCAAAATGCAGGACCACCTTATAGAATGAGGACACACCGAAAGCAAGAAAAGTTTGGCACCATTCCGAGGAGGACTAACACAAAGACATCCAAGTCATTTCTGAAAGCTATCAAGACAATCCGAGGAGGACTAACACAAAGACATCCAAGTCATTTCTGAAAACTATCAAGACAATCCAAAATTCCGTTCAAAATACCCATCAATGTAAGACACATGTTTATTCCGTCAAGATATTGAATGTATCCTTAAATTGCAATAAAAATCAAACTACAAAGTCAACTTACTAGTTTTCTTTATGTAAATCTGAATATGTCCTTAAATCGCAATAAAGGGCTAACTTACAGTTTTGAAACTAGAAAAGTGAAAATTTAACCAAGCTACATAGACGAAAATTGACTTTTTGTTCCCAAAAAAAAAAAAACACAAAAGCAAAATGCCCCTAAAATCTGTAGACAGACACGAGTGTATAAAAATCTTTATTTAGTCTGCAACCACGTGACCTGTTTCAGGCCCAGAAAACACAACATGAACTTGAATGGCCAACCCGACCCGGCCCGAACTCTCTACCCGCCCTTTGCCATCCAAAGCTTAGGCACACAACTTGGTCTTCTTCTTCCCACTCTCTCCTTCCCTTGAACAAAATGACAACTTTGTTATCTATAGTAACTCTTCCTTCAACAGCAAAGCTGAGCTTGAAGCTTCTCAACAATGGCAACATACACGAAAACCCAATTCCGAAAGCTCACCTTTCAGCAGGTAAACTTCTCCGTTTTCATTCACTTTTATCTTCTTTAGCTAAAACTGCAACCACGTTCAAATAACACTGTTTTTTGGTTTCTTAGGCTTTAATTTAGACAAAAACAAACATGGCAACAAAGTTTCATTTATAAATTTTGCTGTAAACAACCAACAAAGCATAGAGACAACCCAGAAAGTTCATGGGAAGATTACACGAAGAAAAGGTGGTGGAATTGGAAACCCATTTTTGAGTGAAGGAAGAGATGAGGATGAGAGACATGGGCCATGTTGCCCTGGCTGTGGGGTCTTTATGCAAGATAAGGACCCAAACCTTCCTGGGTATTATCAGAAAAGGAAGCTTGCTGTATCAGAATTGTCAAATGGTGAGGAGGGTGTTGAGGATGAATTTGAAGAGTTTGATGATGATGAAGAAGAAGAAGAAGAAGAAGAAGAGGAATTTTCTGATGGAATTGAGGGTAAGTATGAAGAAAGTGATGAAGAAGAAAGTGAATTGGAAATGGGGGATGAGTTTGACTGGGATTCAGATGACTTGGAAGGTAAGTTGTTGGGGAACGAAGAAAATGATTTGGATTTGGATGGTTTTTCTCCGGCAGGGGTTGGGTACGGTAACATTAAAGAGGAAACTATAGAGAAAATGAAGAAGAAGAAGATTCCTAAAGCAGAAAAGAAGAGAATGGCTAGAGAGGCTCAGAAAGAGAAAGAAGAGGTTACAGTGTGTGCACGATGTCATTCGTTAAGAAATTATGGGCAGGTGAAGAACCAAGCAGCTGAAAATTTAATGCCTGATTTTGATTTTGATAGGTTGATTGCTACCCGGTTAATTAAACCTGCTGCAAGTGCCAATCCTGTCGTGGTTATGGTTGTTGATTGTGTTGATTTTGATGGGTCATTCCCTAAACGGGCTGCAAAGTCATTGTTTGCAGCATTAAGAGGAACTGAAAATGATCCTAGGCTTAAAAAAAGACTGCCAAAGCTTGTCCTTGTGGCCACAAAGGTTGATCTCCTCCCATCACAAGTATCACCTGCTAGATTGGATAGATGGGTCCGCCATCGTGCTAAAGCTGGAGGGGGACCTAAGCTAAGCGGGGTTTATATGGTTAGTTCTCATAAGGATTTGGGTGTCAAGAATTTGTTGTCCTTCCTTAAAGAATTGGCTGGTCCTCGAGGGAATGTATGGGTTATTGGGGCTCAAAATGCAGGCAAGTCTACTCTAATAAATGCATTGGCAAAGAAAGAAGGTGCAAAGGTTACAAAGCTCACTGAAGCCCCAGTTCCTGGGACAACACTGGGGATCCTGAGAGTTGGAGGGATTTTGTCGGCTAAGGCAAAGTTGTTTGACACTCCAGGACTTCTACATCCCTATTTGTTGTCCATTAGATTGAATAGGGATGAACAGAAAATGGTTGAAATACGGAAGGAGCTTCGTCCTCGGACTTATAGGATAAAGGCAAGTTAGTTGTTACCATTTTGTTTTATTTTTGGACCATTTTTTCTTTAAATATGTTTGTAGTTGTTTTGTGCATTCATCAGTATTTTATCCTTGTGCACATTTTGACTAAAGCTAGTATAACACTAATTCTTGAGACTTCTTGTTGAAATCCTAATATTTGATCATATTAATATGAACATTTTCAATAACCTCTTGAGCATAGGTCCCCACTTTTCCGCCCTAATCAAAAGACATGTAAACTTGACCGCTTCTGTAAGCAATTAATCCTTCTCCTGGTTTCTTATTTTACATTGCAGGTTATGAATGATTTGTGAAGCGTCAGTTGAATTGTTGTACTGGATTTATCTTAGAATGTAATGTCTATGAACATGCTTTTTCAGTGGCAAAAGAGGCTTTCTAAAATTCAGTAGATATTAGATTATTTTGTTTCCTTGATATGGCAGGTACACGTAGCTTTATTCTATAATGAAGCAAGGAATGAACATTAGATTAATAGTTTGGGTGTTTTTTACTATTATGTCTAGTGTTTCCAGTTTTCATAGTTTTTGTTTCAATTGCTTTAAGTTGTTAAGAGGCTTTTTGGTGAGCAAGACGTTTATGGTTTTTATTTTTAATTAAATATGGGGAAAGACAAATAACTGCACAATAAAATGATTCATGAATAAAATGCAAAAACCATAACAAGTTTCTCTAGTTTCTTTAACGTGTTCTCCTTCATTTCTTCCTCACATCCTATCTCCATCCCTCATTTCTTCCTCGCAGAGCACCTCCCTCCCTCCTTTCACCCGTATGTTTTCCCACTATCTCTTTAACCTAGCAAGGAAGAGAAAGACTAAAAACGAAAATCATAAGCATTATCAAGCAGGCCCTTAAGTTATCAATTCAATATTCTATTCAGATTCTACTTTAAAATTTTAAAATGAGAAGAAAGTCCTTAATGTTTCCATGTATATATTATTTGCCGATGCATGAGCATGGACTAGTAAATTTTGAAGGGGAGGGTTTGACTCAACCTAAGTGCTATGGGATTTAATAATTCATATGTTTGATATCTGCAGGCAGGGCAAACCATACATGTCGGTGGTTTAGTGAGACTAGACCTTATTCAAGCTTCTGTGGAAACAATTTATTTAACAGTTTGGGCTTCGCCAAATATTTCTTTACATATGGGGAAGATAGAAAATGCTGATGAGACATGGAGGAAACATGGTGGTGTTAGGTTGCAGGTAGTTCTTTATCCCAGTTAGATATATCTTTGCCATTATTATGCATTTTATAGCATAGCTAGCTCAATGCAATTTAATTTTGGATCTAAAAACTCATATGGATATTATAGTCCTGACATATGCAGGTAATATAAAATGATTGTTACTGAAATCTCATCTAGAAAATTGTCATATATATATATATATATATTATGCGTGTAGCACCAATGGATTCATCATTTGAAACTTTGTAAGCAGTAAGAACTTAGTCATTAACATAGAAAACGCCCACCAAATGTTTGACCGGATTCTTTGGAATCTGTGAGGGGGTGTAGCTTTATAGTGCTCTGAATCCACTGAAGATTCCAGCTTACCCTATAGTCACGAAGGACGAAACCTCTCCTAGAATATGTAATGTTGACAATGAATCTGATTGATTTGTTGGAAATTTTCCACTGCCTTTGCAATTTAAGACAAAATGGGCTCCTCAAGCATACTGATGCATCACCAAAGAGAAGTACAATAGGAAGTAGTATAGAAAAGTTAGATGCTCAAACATAACGAAGAGACAATAAGTCTATAAGTGGGATCCTCAAGCTCAAGCATACTTTAGTTTATTTCATCCGGCACAACCGTATTTTGTGTCCAGGACTAGTCTATAAGTGAACCTAAATGCTCAAACATAACGAAGAGAAAATGTTTTCAGTTGTCTGCCTGACTGTTTCGAAGTAGCATTGAGATTGCAGCATAATTTGGAGCAGAAGAGACCTGCAATACCTATTTGCAGTTTGTTTTGAAACGGTTTTTCTTGTAACATAGTATCATTTTTATGATCTCTTGAAAGGTTCTTGTGTCTGCATTTGTGACATGCTTTGCACTAAAGTAAGCTATGTTAATGTTTGATTAGTCTTCAAACTCAAAGGCACTTTACTATCATGGAAAGGTCAAATGAACGGTAGCATCCTTGGCATCCTTCCAATTGATTGATAATCATTATTATATATGTAATTTTTTGTTGTTGCTCAAATTGATAACCATCAATTGAAGGACACTGTTAGTACTATGTTTAGTTGCCCCAATCTTCATTAATTAGTTTCTTTTCCCCTTTGAATATTTCAAGAAATAACATGAAAGGGCTCCTTTGGTTAAGTGTACTTTTTACTGACCTTACACGGCTTATACTTTTGCAGCCTCCAATTGGCGCCGACCGTGCTTTTGAGATGGGCACATGGGAAGAGAGGGAAATCAAAGTGTCCGGAGCAAGTTGGGATGTAAATAGCATTGATATTGCAATAGCTGGTTTAGGTTGGTTTTCTATAGGTCTCAAAGGGGAAGCAACGTTGGCATTGTGGACATATGATGGCATTGAAATCACTTTGAGAGAACCACTAGTTCTTGATCGGGCACGGTCTCTTGAGAGACCTGGGTTTTGGCTACCGAAAGCAATATCCGAGGCCATTGGAAACCAGAGCAAACTTGAAGCTCAAAGGAAAAAGCTTGAAATGGAGAGTGCAGATTTCCTTTCTGAGGCGTCCATTTGAAAAGAAGGTAAGCATGATTGCTCTGCATCATTTTCCGCGGGAAACATGGTCAATATCGTAGCTCTGAGAAGCGAGTTGCAGTGTTTAAAGGAACAGTTCCTCTAGTTTAATCGAAGGAAAAATGATTGTATGCTGACATTGTTTTGAGTAAACCTATAGCGTTAAGTATGTTGGTGGGATTATATAAATCATGAAGACTGTTTCCTGGTTTAGGAATTGAGAGGAGGCTTTTAAATGACAGCTCCTTCTGTGATGATTGGTTGAAGGGGGTGCAAATTATATTGAATCATTGTTTTAAGCCAAGATTTTAGATGACCTAAGGAAGTTGGCGATGACTGAATTGCTTCTTTTAGGAGAAGATTTTCCCAAGCTAATGTAGAAGGGGAATATGATTGGTGTTTCTTTTTTTATTTTTATTTAATTTGAAAGAAATTAAGTTAAATGTGGCACAATTTGTTGAGGGATGAAAACAAAATTTGATGAAAAAAATTTCTTTGGTGGAGTATGATGAACAAATTATGGGTCTAATTACAGAATTAAAATGCTTAATTAAACTTCAAAAAATGCTAGTAAAAAGGGCTTCTCTGTGAACTTAGGTAATGGCTCTGTCCTTGAGGCTGAATTATGGGGTATTCTATGGGCACTTACTCTGGCCTGGGACTCTGGCTATCGTAATGTTGAGGTGGAAAGTGACTCTTGTGATGCTGTTTCCTTGCTAAATAGCCCTACCATTCCCACTCATCCACTCTTGTTGCAAGTCAAAGATCAACAAGGATTGGCATTGCTCTATTAATCATATCTACCGTGAGCAGAATGTTGCTGCTGATGCTTTGTCTGCTAGGAGCATCGATTTTGGTCCTGGGATTCATCTCTTTGAGAGCTCCTGACTTCCTGAAGGATATTTTGTATGCTGATGCCATGGGTGCGTCCAGGCATCGTCTTGTTGCTGCCTAGGTGTTGCTGTGCTGGGCTTTTAGGCCCCATGTTACCCCCAAAATAAAATAAAAACAAAGCTAGCAAAAACCGTTGTTCAAAAACCCATTAGCAGGAAACTCCCAAACATGTCAAAAGTTGCGCAAGCTTGCTAAATAAGTTTAACAATTGCCAAAACTTAAATCTGATACACACCAAGAACTATAAAATTCTCTTTTTACTTCTGCTGTTAAACCTTTTTTTTTTTTTTTTTACAAGTTTCGTACCCCAAGGGTATTTTTGGTAAACTGAACAGAAAGAGCATCGGAATGAACAAGGATGGAAGCAAGTGTTTCAACCTTGCTCTATACAGAAATTACAGCGAGCGGAAAAACTACAAATTACTTAGGTTTTGCCATTGGCTAAACTACATAAGGAAGAAGTCACTACAAGCTAGCTGCTTTCAACGGGGCTGCTGGATGAAGCGGGGGCTGCATTTCGGGCTCACATGCTTGGCAGGCTTCTCAGCATACCTCCTTGGCTCCACTGGGGAACGTTTGTCTTCCAGTGATTTCAAATTCTTCAAGACCGCAGTACTTGTTTCCAACCCTGTTGTTCCAAAAGAAAATTTTGAGTCCAACAGTATAACAGCATTTCGGAAACTGCATCAAATTTTTACATCCCAATTGCCAATAATCTACATTCTCTTGGAGTAGTTGTTCATACCATTTTTACTTTCAGTCTGAGACAATTGAAGGAACTCCTCAAACTGAGCTTCTAAACTGGAGAAGTCCTCACCAGCATCGAGATCAAAGGTCTCTGGAAGCAAATCTGCGACATTGTCAACGTCACCCTGGGCATTATCATAGAAGCCATCCTCACCCTGTTGACTGAGCCAGTAGTCGTGGTACCATGTGGAAGTGGTAACCAGTTGCCACCATTCAGGGGAGAAATCCTCCACCTGCTTAAGAGCAGCAGGGATAAAGAGAGGGGCATTCGGGTTCAACGTTGATCCTCCTGAAACCAGTGCCATCTTTGGCTACAGCGCAATTCAACTGCAAAGGAAAAATGCAGTAAATGAGATACTAAATCTTCCCTTGGGCTTCGCATTTTCCATCTTCCATACAAGTACATGTCAAATTGAAGACAGCAAATGCAATTCATAAGATCAACTATTAAAAATCTCCAACACCCTTTGAAAATCATTAAAATTGTTGATTTTATATAAATCTAATAAAATTCCCACCAAAAGTTTTTAAAATCTAGACACACTGACCAGAATCTAAACATTTCTATATGAAATGGATAATTACATAAACCAAAAAAGCTCATCCAATTACAAAAAATTTAAATAAATAAAAATATTTAATCTTCAAAATTAAAAAAGTTCTTCAAAGATCATAGTCATCAAAAGCCATAGATCAAATAAATTAAAAAATCCGATTTTCAAATCTTCAATTTCCTTCACCAATTTTGTGCTTTCTGAACAACCAGATCTACCAATCAGAAAAGGTAGAGACAAACCAAACCCAAATACAGCTAAATCATTCACTCAACAGCATCTTTTACATAATCACTTGAACCTTCTGGCCTTAATTTCATTCCGCCACCAAAACCTAGTTTTCTATCGTTCAAGATTCCATTTTTCGTTTTCTCAGCAACCAAACACGAAGTAAAAGCATGTTCGTAAACCAAGAGATCCATTAATTAACAAAAAAGCAAGCCATAAAATTTATCAAGAAGAAAACTGGAGAACTTGTTTTCATTACCTCTGCGAAGCTTTGAGCGAAGAAGAAGAAAATATCTGCGTGCGAAATTTGAGGTGAAGGGAATGACCCGAGGGCGAGAAATACGCGTGAGGGCGAGAGATGGGGGGGAAGGGCGGTTTATATAGAGACCGAAATCCGAGCCTCTGTGGTTGGGAGTTACGAACCTAAGATTCGGGTGCACCGAGCCAGCCCGCTGGTTTGTACTGTACGGACTGCTGATTTTGGAGCGGCTACAACTGTTTTAAGCCGTTGATCGCCTGATTGTTGTCACACGGTAACTAGCTGTTGTTCATTGACTTTGACTGGAGTGGTCAGGACTCAGGAACGACACGACTACGCCACGTTGCCACAAAATCCATCGTGCAAAATGTGAGCCCGTTTTTTGGTTTGTTGCCTGAAGCAATTCGGTATTCCAAATCATGTTTAGTACCAAGTTATTAAAATTAGAAGGTTTTCTACTCATGTATTTTGTTTTGTTGAAGTACTCATGTACTATTTTAAACATGACATTTTTGTTTCAAGTCGACCATATCCCTCTTATATTCTTATGCATCAATGTTATATTTTATGTAAATTTCGTAAAAAAAGATTACGTGTGAGACACGTGACCAACATAAATACTCGTCAATGAGAGTATAAAGACGAGTTTGTTCTTAAGAAGTTAATTATGCGCCTCACATGTGATCAATTTTGGCGCATAATTAGACTAAATTGATGTCCAACATAACAGTTTATGCTCGGCATTAACAAGTTTCTTTTTTTATTATATATTTTTTGAATCCACAGCGCAATCGAACATATATTGATTTTGATGAACAGACGGAAGGAAGATATAGATTTGCGGAAGAACTCTACCGCCCGAGAAGCTTGAGCTTGAAAGCGGTATCGTTGGGAATTTCAAGGTCTTATTTAGATAGGGGAACGATAATTTAGTTTAGTGATATTTGGTTAATTTTGTTATCATGAACCTAAACTTGGGGAATCGTAATTTATGTAAAATGTAGAAGAAACCGAAATTTAGTTGGGTAAGAATTTTGTTCTGCTAAATTTATTGATTATAACATGGTACTTCAAATTGCCCTAAAACCATAAAATGATAAGAATCGAAGAGCCCATATCAAATCCTTTAGAGATGCTTGGAAATCCAAGGAAGATATTTGAAATTCTTTAGAGATGCTCTTATGCGCGACATAAGAGGATAGGATAACATTGATTGAATTGAAAGAATTGAGATGAAAATGATGTGATTGAAATAGTACATGGACTACTTATCAGTCATTAAAAGGCAAATTAAAATATATCTATAATTTAAATCATTAACCTTAAGAATTGAAGAGCCCATATCAAATCCTTTAGAGATGCTCTTATTTGTTCTATTTTTCCATATCAAATAGAAGTTTTTGGTTCTATTTTTCCATATGCTTGGAAATCCAAGGAAGATATTTGAAATCCATCACTCGAGCCTTGGGTCTTGATATTTTTCACTTTTATTTTGGTCGAATTTTTTAGTGGATATGATGACATGAGTCTTGTTGGCCTGCATGTTGATATATCCTTTTAGCCACTCGGCGGGCACAACGCCTTCATTGAGAAAGACAAAAGAGGTAAATCTCTCATGTGTAGGCGGTCCATCGTCATGGTTATGACAATCCAATCACAGCCGTTGATGCAAAATGGGCCCTACGCAACGCGATCTTGAAGGGTCAAGATTGCACCCTCTAGAAACTTGTATTCTGAGTGGTAACACCCCCGATTATTGTATTATGACTTGTTTAATGACTTCAATTAATTAATAATTGAAATGCAGGAGTGGAAGTGGGACCCGTTCATGTGAGCCATGTTAGACTTGTCCAACACAAAGCACCTAATCGACGGCCTGTAGACGTGCTTAATTTATCAACGGCTGATGTCATTTTGTGAAAGTGATGACGCGTCGTATTTTTGGTGGGGCAAGGCTCGTTCTGGTTTTCTCCGCTTCCAGATAATGCGCGCATAGCACATGGGGTGTGTGTGGGTTGTAGGTCGGTTAGGTAGAGATAGCGGATATGATCGTATGAGAATGACACAAGACATATCCTGCCAAGCAAGACGGTGTACACCACAACCATGCCCTCCCCCCATCATTATCACTAATCTAATTATAAATTTAAGATGTCACCGCAAATTATACTCGTTTAGTACTTTTATAATTGTTGTTGCAACTTCATTATGATTTGGCCTAATTACATAGTTGCAAAAAGTCGCTTTGGATTCTTGTGTTTCTGGTGATTTATGTACTTATTTATTAGAAAGATGCTTCATTGACTATAAAAACATCTCAGGATACAAACCCCTTACCTTAAAAAATTTATTAGGAAAATTCGGTTAAGGAAAAAAAGCAATTAAACATCCCCCCTTCATGTCCTTTTCTAATAATGGTGATAGCCACGGAGGCGTTGCATCCTCCCATAAGAAGAGCTTTCTCTTGCACAACCCAAATTGAGCCAAAGCATGGGTTACATTAGGTCTGGGCACGGATCGATTCGGAATGATAAAAGACTCTATGAGGAGAGTAGCCAAACTCCTTATAAACCCAAACTCTATGAGCTTACTCTCAACACACCCCCGCATGTGTGGCGAACTTTCAAGCCTAATACGTGAACAACACATATTGGGTGACGTGGGAGCACGTGTGGCCGTTAGGCCTAACACATGAAGCCTTGCTCTAATACCATGAAGGAAGTTGAGGTTCCACCCCAAAATCATTTGGCAATGGGGGGAGTAGCCCAACTCCTTATAAACTCAGGCTAGGTCCTTTAACATTTCAATGTGGGACAAATACTCTCAACAAAATACACCAACTTATCCTTGTAAAATATAAAAAACCAATAGTCTAATTCATCCAAGTTCAAAATCAAATAACTTAGTCATTATATCATTCAATATATACTCAAGATGTATTGGGAGCCACTTATGTTTGTTTTTTGAACATTTGAGTGTTATTTTTATTGAATTCTCTACATTTATTTAAATGATTTTGACATTTGTTTCACATTGTAGTTTTTCATGTTGAATCCAACCATATAAAGAACATAAAATTTGGATCAACGGTTGAAAAGTTACAGGTAAAAAACGGGACAAAAGTCGAAACTAGAAAACATAGGAAATTCATAAATTCATCTCTAACCAAAAAGTGCTACAGTACCCAAGTGATAAAGAAGTAATAGAATGGTGATAAAGCAGTGATACAATGGTGATAAAGAAGTGATAAATAAGTAATACAAAATGCTAATTGTATTTATCTTTGATTTCTTGTTTTGTATGAATAAGTATAAATATCGGATCGGTACGGGTTTCCGTCGGGTTAGGAATATTGTTTCCGTTAACCAAACCAAACATCTCGATATGGATTGGATCAGAATAATTAAAAATAAAAAATAATTATTTAACCAAACCAAACCAAACCGTCAATACGGCACGATCGATACGTGGATAATTCAGATGAGATGCCCACCCCTAAGCTACACCATGCCTTGCCTGGGTTGATAATCGACTTTCAATACACCTAATTCCTCCATTAATTGATGGATATCAATCACTATATTGATCATTGTAGTTTGATATCCCTAGTGATTCAATGACACATCCAAAAATTTTATCCAAATTTGTGACAGAGTAAGCACATGTCCCTGGACGTAGAGGGGTATTTTGGACATAATTTTGGTACGCATTGGAAGAAATATGACATAATTTGTAACATGCTCTATTGCTAAGGATTTAAAACTACATAGTAAATTGGTAAAACTAAAACAATTGGGACCAAAATGGTAAAACCAACAAACTACAATGCTTAAAAACGACTTTTTGCCTTGCATAATCTAGTAATTTTTCGGATATTTTACTTTGGTCCACATCATTTCAATTTGAATGTTCAACGTGTTTTATTCGTATTTGACAGAAATTAGGATTACGTTGGGATTGAACACGCATATTAGCAAATTGCAAAGACATGATTACAAAAATGGAATAATAATGACAAGATTGAAAATGAAACCAAATAGCGGGGATAAAAAATGCAACTTAGATGGAATCTGAATACTAAGCTTTGGCTAATCAAGTCTACTTTTTTTTTTCCTCATATTCTTTCATAAAATAAATATTGTTAACAATGGAATAAGCAAAGAATCATTTACTTGGAAAATTGAGAAACAACAAAACACTAATTCTGAATCTGATTAACAATGGAATAAGCAAACATCCGAATGAGCATTCTGCTACAACACAAACCCAACTGATCCTAATTAGAACATTTACACAAGAAAACTATTCCGGCTAACAAGTTATCATCTCATACAACAAAATCCAAACAGATGGGAAGGAAGGCAAGGAAAGCAAACCTTTCTTTCTCTTATACTTTCTCCTTCACGTATTAGTCATACGGAATTTGAATATATGCTGCATCACAAACGAAGGGGATATCTGCATACATGCCAGCAAGAGCACAGCGTATGGACTCCAACACCGTAAATAGGTAAGCAAATGCAACGGCTGTCCAGAAGTGCATCCCTACTTTACCCCAGTAGACAGCAAGTGGCATCCATCGGCTCACAGTCCCTATGACCTGCAAGGCAATCTCCAACAACATGCCCATCACCACATGAAATCTGAAGAAATGCGGCCATTCCTTTCTCCTCACTATTCCAAGATATGCAACAAAAAAGTATGCCATCAAGAACCAGCTGGGCAACCTCCCAATGGCCCCCAGGAACGGGTAAGTAAGGAATTCAAAGTCTTCCAGGAAAGGGTGTAGATGATAGGCTGTCTCAGCATACATCCATGTCTCATGTAGGGGCATTAAATAGGGGAGGCATGCTAATGTTCTCCACCACCACTTTGGCTTCTTAGTCATTGGAGGGAACCGAAAACTGTATGGGACATCCTTGGATGCTTGAGGGGCCATACGACTTCTGCATCGTCTTGGCAACAAGGGGATTGTACGTAACAGGCTACCTTGATCCCCGCTTAAAAATGGGCTTGATAGAGTACAATGTTGCAGAAGTGGCATAGCTATAATGAAGATAACATTGAATGAAAACGAATACCAAG